AGTATGTAAAAGGAAAAAATATGGTATTTTTTCATGAACAAATATGCCACATATGGCAATTTTCAACTAAAACTGACTGATATTCAATAATGTCAGAATTTGGATGTTTTTCCTGCTTCTCATCACCAGCAGCTGTTTTTCTTCAGTATTCTAAATGGGAACACATTATAGAGATGATTTAAAAAAAAAACTTAATTATTACCAGTATTTGAAAGATTTTTAGCAGTTAGGAAGTAAAAGAAAAACTTTTCCACGTCTTCCATTTTCACTCATATTTTGTTGGTTTGATTGAACCAGAAGGCAACTGGATTGCTTCAAAGTTGAAGAAACCATTTACCTGATATTGCGGTGGAGCAGCAGGCGGAGATGCAGAGTGCGTTCGAAGATCCCGATGGTTCTTGTTCCTCCTCATCGTCGCCTGCGGCTCGCTCTTCTTCATCCAGGTTGATGTCTATGATGGTTTCTGGGCTGAGGTATGATAACATCATCATGCTCTTCCTCTTTAGTGAACGGTTCTCACGCTTTAACTTTCAGCCCCAAAGAAATGAAACGACAAAGCATTTTAGAGTGTGAATGTGTACTTTATCTTTTCACACTAAAAACTATTTTATTGGAATTTCATTTGAATGAACAACAAAAAGTGGTGCATGATTATAAACAATGCAACCATGAGAAATTTTTTTTCTAAAATTACCATTGTCCTCCAGTCACAACTCATTATGTACGTATGTCTCTAACAGTTTAGCATATCTAAAGATTAGACTTTTAATTTCTTGATATAATTTTACCATAAATGTTCCAGTAAGCATCAGTATTCCTTTGTGCTGGGGAACCCAGCTCCAAATCAATGGCAGAGATCACATATAGCACACAGACTAAGGACAAACACATTAATCCTTCAACACAAAACAGATTAAAAGGCTTATTTTAGAAAAAGCTAAAGGTCGTGTAACTATTTTGGTTTCTTTAGTTAGTTATTTCAGTTATTATGCAGTGAGGAATGTTCTAATCTTTATATTGTAGACACCAAACAATATAAAGATGCATGGCCCAACACAGCAGAGCGACCTCCTCAGGATAAGACTCTGCAGTATACCTGCACCATATGAACAAACGGCATTCTTTTGAGGACCAGAATGTTCACGTTTTGGATATAGAAAATAGGTAGTTTGAGTGGGGCATGAAGGAAGCCATTTATGTTAAAGAAAAAACAGAGGGGATAGACTCAGATTTCACAATACATCCTAACAATCGCATCACAAATG